TGTAATAATTGTAACGTCATATTCATATTATATTTTTTATTGTTTACTTACTCACGTATTTTATAAACAATATAATATAGTACTATAGTATACTCGGATTTAAGACAACAGCTCTTTCTTATTAGAATATTGTGTGCCAACTTTGCTTGTGAGTACTTATTCCATAATGAGTTACCGCGTACCGATTAAATATATTATTTTATTATTCATAAATGTTATAGTGTAGATAGGTATATAATTGTATTAATAAGCTAAAATAATGGCCATATTTTACTTTTGAGCAACAAAGGCTAAATAATTATTTGTTTGAATATAGGTAATATGTATTAGTTATAAATTATAAATTAAAACTATTCATTGTATTATTATTGTAAAGAAATACTTACCCAAAATATCATTATTTTAGTTGTTAACAGATCATAATAAAAATACAATAATTTTCTAAATATTATATTGTATACATAACAGTCTTAAGCAACTGATTTCGTCGTAATTAAATTAATTTTTAGCCCTCATAAAAACTAGCTCAGTGAGGCTCATTAAACATAATATATTTTATAAGTATTTGTAAATAAAAAAAATAATAACAAAAATTCAATTTTAGTAAGTAGTAAAATAAATAAATATTTTAAATATTAGAATAACAATAACTTTGCGGATGTTTTTAAATTTAAAAACTCTACGACAGTTTATTAATATATTTTTATCTATATATCTAAAAATGACCGTTTTACGTTAACACAAGTAATAGGCGCTTACCATAAATTAACAATATCGTATTAAAATATATCTTGCAAATCTCATACAAAATTTTAAAATAATCATAATATGCAAAATAAATGTGTGGATTTGAAATCTGTACTTATTTTCAAAAGAAAGTCATGTTGTAAAATAATTCTGATAGCACTATAAAAAATATATACATAGTAATTTATGTCTTTATGTCTGGATGTTTATATCTAAGCCCTAATTATCTGCAATGTTTGCCCAACATTCCTACGAAAATTGCTAATCGAGTTACTTAAGCTAATATCAATTTAACTAAATGTATAGGTAATTCAATTTAGTACAAATAATGTACTTTGTTTAATGCTTGCACAACTAATTATACACACATAGAATCTAATTCATAGAATTAACGTATTTTGCTTGATAATCGGCCGCGTGTATTATTAATATTATTATTCCTTGTCCGTTTTAATCTAAACATAAAGTAATATAATATTAAGCATTTATTTAAAAAAAAAAGTTCGATATTGGTTTGTAAATCAATATAAATATTTTATTGATTAATTATATTAAGACATATAAGTTTATAATAATATAAGCAACCGGTGGACGATGACCAACTGATTAAGTTAAAAATTTTTAAAAGGAGCAAAAAGCTCGTTAAAAGTGATTATCGACTGTGTGAACATTTTGAGTATGAATAAAATAACTAACTTTAGGCAAATTTTTCTTTAATCACGCCCAACGTATTAGTATATATATATAGTAGCCTAGTTTTAGTAGTGAGTCACTTCGGCTTTAAATCTTCTATTGATCACAACCACTGAACTACCTCAGAACGAAGTAAGTAAACACAGAAACGACAATAACGATGGTGACGACTAAAAAATTGTTGACATTACTGAGTCCGGTGATACTTATACCATGTAGTCTTGCCGACATTAAGATTTTCCATCAGCTACCTTTCTACCAACAACACGCGTTACGTTCAACCACCGTGAAAACACAGTACCTATTTGACAAATACAATATCCTAGTGTAAATATACGGCACTGGTAGCCGACAACGCACCGAGCTAACATGCAATTTTAATTGCCTATCCGGCAATTAAATTCCGGTAATAACATTTGCTACCGTAACATACTGTTATTGACGTACTCAGGAGATGAAGCAATAACGGTTTTCTACAATAATTATTCAAAAAAAATGTTTAAAAATCAATAAATAGATACTAAATGAGAGGTATATTAGTAGTTTTTAAAAGCATCAGGAAAAAAAATTAAAGAAAAAACTGAATTTTTTCTCAAAACAAGTTTTTAACAAAATCGTTTTGGTTTTTTTATTTTTTATTATTTTTTTTTTTTATTGAAATTTGTACAGTTTTCAAATAATTTTTTTACACTTCGCACAAACAATGTTAAAAGGTTAATAAAATACAATAAAATAAATTAAATGAATTAAATAAATTAGCAACATTTTAAAGACTTGAGAAAAGAAGCCATATTGTGTGGTGAAACTTTGTAAACTTTTGAATACTTTTTAATTTATTTCATAAACAAATAAAAGTAGATTATCGTAAATATTGGTAAAAATATTTTTCCTTGATCAAAAAACTAGAAGTAAAGAATCTTTTATAATCAAACATCTTCTTGAAAACTGTCAATACCATATAGAAACTAAAAAAAATGCTTAGGAATATCCAGCAACCATTTTTAAACCCTTAACCCAATCTAGGATAACATCGAAATCATCTCATTTTTCAAGTTTATTAATTGTTTAACCTAATATAAGAAAACTATTATATTCAACTATTTCAACCAAATATAGCATTAATATTTAATATTGTTGTAATCTAATAATATAAGTTGTTGAAGCTGTACTTAGAATGTTTGAAAATAAAATAATAATGTTTTCCATCAATATATTATAATATGATATGATATAAAATCAGGAACGAACTGGGTCGATGGGTAGGTGGGCTATTAGGATTTTTGACCTTACGATAATAGACTACGATAATAATTGTATATTTTAGTTGACAATAATTGAGGACACAAATTTTTTTTTTAAATTAAAGATGTTTGATTAATTGGGAAAGAAGAGAGCCACTAATTCTATCTGTCTAGGCTATTTCTATTATGAAATGTATCCTGGTATAACCTAAGCGGCTGGGTCTATGATTGTCCGGGCCGATTTTTTACGCTAATCCGCACCTGTATAAAAGGGATTCACGACAATTGAGCGCAGACAATTGAGCGCGTGACAATTGAGCGAAGACTATTGAGCACACGACAATTAAGCGCTCCGAAAATTAAGCGCTAAGACAATTAAGCGCAATATATAAAAAATAATAAATAAATAAAAAATATATTATAATAAATTTAAGTCATAGAATGATTAATAATATTATATCTGAATACAAAATGTCAAACAAAAAATGTATAATAATAATTTAAAAAAATAAAAAAGTAGGCATAGTATAATTTATAATACATTATGAGCCAAGTTAAACTATTAAATATTTTGAGCAATGCCTTTTAAAAACTCTTCAGTTGATCTAGAATGAAATTGTTCACAAATATTTTTTATCCTTAATCCTGAATCTTTGTATTTTTTTTTTCTTGGTTTTGGTTCATTACCTGCAATAAATTGATGAATTCTCACGCGATTCAACTTTTCCTCTTTTTTTAGAGCGTCGATAAATTTCCAAATTGATGGATGAACTGCATTTAAAATTGATTTAAATGAATTATGCCATCCTTCAATAGCATTGTTGGTCCTTGGTATATCATTTTTAATCAACTCATAACAGTTCCATAATTTTATAGAAAACTTTGGAGACCTTCGTTGCCTGTTACGACTTATACGACCTATCCACATGTCTTCGAAATAATCTAAGAAAGGTGTTAATATTGTTTCATGTTCTATATAAAAATCAGTTTGTAATTGGTCTTCGAATGCAGTAATAACAAACTCTGGAGGAACATATGCTAATGCATTTAACATTTTAATATTTAATGCAAACTCGGAATTTTCACGGTATTTTATGGCAAGTCCTGTGTTTTGAATATGTCTCCATATAGATTGACAAAAGTGGAAAAAACAGCCATTTATTTCTGTTTGAACAGATTTATTTATAATTTTATCATTTCGTGAACAGCAGTTAGTAAAATATTATAGCGCTTAATTGTCGCAGTGCCCAATTTTCCCCGCGCTCAATAGTCTTCGCCCAATTGTCTGCGCTCAATTGTCGCGCGCTAAATTGTCGGGACACCGTATAAAAGATCTTAGATTGATAGATCTCTGCTTAGAATCAACGTCATCGACGTTGTTGTATAATTGTGTAATATGCATAGTATTTTAATGACTTGTATTTATTTAATATATATATAATTAATTTTCATTTAGATATATTTCATTATCTGCGTAACGTATAACTGAAATTATAATATACGTCATATAATCAAAAAACCAATATTTTTCACAATATATTCTACACATTTTCTTTAAACTAAAATAAATTTCTGATGAATATATAAATAAAAAAAAATTATAAGTATAAAAATATTTAATGTAGTATAACTTTTAAGTTTAAATATTTAATAAATAAATTCATAAACTTTGTTAAATTTGGGTGGTGCAATAGAATCGTACTGTGTAAAATGAAAAACATGTCCATAAGTTGTAAATTAATTTTCCATTTTATAAAAATTTCTTTTTAAAAGAGACTTAGAAGTCCATAATTTCAATTATACCAATAAATATTCTTTTTTCAATTTAATTATACTTATTACTTAAAATCATGTTAAAATTTTCTGTCAATTTGTTTAGCTAAAACTTGAGAAAATAAATTAATAGATTGTATAATAATATTACGTCATTATAGCTTATTGACTAATTGCAAGTTTCAATAAAATAATAAAAATATATCAACATATTATAAATCATACAACCAAGCTTTTAATATAATAATATATTTTGTAAAGATATGTTATGTCATAATTTAAACTTTAAAGGTATCGTTATAACATAAAGTTTTAAATATAATTAATAAAATATTAATAGATATCTGTATTTCATAAAATTATCGTTATAATAGCAATGATGATTTTTATATTTTATGGTATACAAATTATAATACCTAAGTTTTCAATAATAATGTATAAAATCGTTTAAATAGATCTAATATCAAATTAAAATAAATATTTTCATTGAATTAATTCCATTTAAACATCTTTTTAAACAAAATTCTTACACAAAATTTATATTTAAAAATGTTCAATATCCTCTTTTTTCTATTTCGTTTTTAATCCAGTACATAAAACCGGCCACGTTAACATAAGCCGCGGGTATATCTGCTAAACCGCAATTAATACCCCAAGCTACAATACCAACTTGAACTAAATGATCTGGATCATCTTTGTATGGACACATTAACGGACTGCCGCCATCACCCTGCTCACAAAATATTAAGTTAGTTAGTCAAGCGAGATTTTTAAATATAATATGAATACCTAATTTCTTATAATAATTCAAACAAATTAATTAAAAATAAAATAAACTGTTTTATTTTTATATATAAAATCATACATTTCTCTAAATGATTAAATTTTATCTATAAATAAAATGATATATTTCAAAAGTCAATTATCTATATTTGATTTTGATGATAATAAAGTATAAACTGAACACAGGACCTAGGTAATTGATAATTGCCTTTGTTTTTCGTACCCGAATGTGTGTAATATAATAGTTATTATTACTTATATATTATTGTATTCAATGATAAATTAGCGCATTTAAATAGATTCTGAATAATGATAACCAATAGTTTCAAAATAAATATAAAATAATATTATAGTTAAAATATTTTTGTTAGTGAAATTAGCTAACAGAAAGTATATTGCTATACTTTTAAACGAGAATAAAATAATAGTATTATAACTTATTATTTATACGATTTTGCTTTTAGTAGTTGAATAATATTATAATGAAATATGATTATCAGCTACTCAAGCCATATTGTATCAAATGTATAATCTTAAATTTAATTACGTATTAGATTGTATTAATTCAACTAACTAAAAAATAACATACACTCCCATTTAATCCCTTCTTAAATCTAAACTAAATAAAGGATATCTTACTTTACACGTGTCTTTCCCTTCTTGACCACCGGCGCATATAAAACTATCGTGCAATACAAATTTTGGTCCAAGTCTAGTGGTTCTGAGAATGTCCATGCATTTACTTCGAGGAACAATCGGAAGTTCAACCTTTTTCAATATACTGACTTGATATTGACCAAATTCTTCTACAAAATAAAATATTTAATTTATGATTGTTATTTCGTAGCTTTTATTTTTTTGAATTTTTTTTATTAAGTATATCCACCTACTAGTTTTTCCCGATTCTGTTTTCTTAACAATAGTATAGTTATTGTAAGAAACAGTTTTACCCCAACCACTCGAGTAACACATATCATTTATAAAAATATCATTTGTCGAAGGTAAGCATATAAGTTGGATATTATCTTGCAAAGAAAATGGATTTTCGACAAATATTAAAGCCACGTCATTATAAAGTCCTCCTGCGTAGTAATCAGGATGAGTAACGATTTTTGATACTCTACGATCTTGGTGACTAAGTAATTCTTTTTCTGTTTTTAAATCCCATTCACCTGCACGAACGACCAAAGTTGAAATATCTTTCCTAAAAAAAAAAAGACTAATAATAAAACATCAATTTTTATAAAATAACTTATTAATATATAAACAAGCTGATAAGAAATTGTTGTTTCAAAAATACTTTAGATTTCAATGTAAGTTATTGTATTCAATACTATATAAAAAAATTAGTTTGAGAAAATTAAAATGCATTTAACTTGTATACAATGCTTAGATATTTTATTTAAAATAACTTAAAAATAAGTTTCTATTTGAAGTTGCTTTATTAAATAATAAGAGATAAATGATTACTTTATCACGCAATGAGCGGCTGTTAAAATTACGTCTTTTTCGATTAACGAACCCCCACAATTCAATACGAGATTTTTTTCGCCGTCTTTTGATAATTCTTCTTTAAATATAGCTATCATTGAAGGAAATTCGCCAAACTGTGATTCACCATCAACTGCATTTCCAATTCTAAAACCAGCTCCATATTTATTCCAAGTACCACATTTATGTTTTTCGTGATGATCATTAGAGGTTTTATCAGATTCAGTTGAAACAATATATTCAGGAGTAATCGATTTTTCTGTCACCTCATGTACAGATGGTTCCTTAGTGAAATACCCTGATTGGCCGTCATGTGGATTTTTTGTGTAATCTTCTGTTTGGCCATCGTAAGGTTTTTTAGTATACTCATCTTTTTGGCCGTCATGTGGGTTTTTTGTGTAATCTTCCGTTTGGCTATCGTAAGGTTTTTTAGTATGCTCATCTGTTTGGCCATCGTAAGGTTTTTTAGTGTGCTCATCTGTTTGGCCATCATAAGGCTTTTTAGTATATTCATCTGTTTTGCCATCGTATGGTTCTTTAGTATAATCTCCTGTATGGCCATCATATGGTTTTTTAGTGTGCTCATCTGTTTGGCCATCGTATGGCTTTTTAGTGTAGTCTTCATTATTGCTAACATGTGGTTCTTTTGTATAACCTTCTGTATGCTCATCAAATGGCTTCTTAGTATAATCTTCATTTGAACCATACGACGGCTTTTTAGTAACATCTATTTGGTCAATAATCGGTTCTTTGCTATAATCTTCAGGACTAACACAATTACAGTTACTACTTGTAGTATCATCTGGATTATTTAACTGATACTTTTCGGTTGAAGTGATTTTTGTATCATTGCAACAAACGTCAAAATAACTTTGACATGGAGCTACGTTAATTCTGAAACATAAAAATGTAAAACAAATTTTTAATAGACTTTTAATAGTACTAAAAATTCTATATTTATGTTTAAAAATATTGAAAAATATTATGAATTTTAAGACATTTAATTAAAAATAATATTTTAGGAAACTTGAATGTATACACATGGTGTGGGAAATGTTTACCACTACTGTAAACACACTATTTGTTGTGCAATATTTTTTATTAGATATATTATCTTCTATAAATAAAATACAATTTTTGTGTTATGTATGTGTATTTATATGATATATTATACAACTAAGTCTATAGCTTATTAATAAAAAAAAAAAAAAATGCCCTTAGAATTTAGAAACCAATTATTAAATTTTGCATTTTGATGTATAAAAAACAGTAGAAAAATGAATTAATTTAACTATGAAAAGTGAAGTTATACAACTAAAATTTTAGATTTATTTACAAATACGAATCCTATACACAATTTAAAAAAGCTGTAAATCAACATATTCAAAATAATCTAAAATATATATACGTATAATATATCTAAAGATCATAGAACTGTACCTCGTATATAATATTAACGATCATATTTGAATATTATATTTTGTAATTTAAATTATTAACAAGAAAAATGGATTGAAAAATAAAAATTATTATGTAAGTATTTAAATATTACACAAAAAATTGCTTAAGCACAAAATACCTATACTGTTTTATTGATAAAAATAAAAATAATTTAGCGAAGTCTTACCTTACATCTATAAGCTCGTTACCATCAGGAGCCGCTTTATAAGTTTTGCACTGATGATAAGGTGTGCAGTTACAATCGTCATCATCATTTTCATCTGTTAGAGTTGTAGTCTCCAAAATGGTCGTTAACTTGAGTCCCGTCGTGGACTGTAATTCAGATGCCAAGAAACCGATCACTGTTGTATGTGTAACAGATAATGGTCCGATTACCAATGATGAAACTATTCCGGTAAACAAAATCAAACCAAAAATCTGCATGATGTAATTCTGTAAACCATTTTTAAATAATATTAAAGTTAATTATAAATAATATGAATACAATTTTGAAATTATTTCAGTCATCTTAGATTAAATTTTTTTTTTTCAAAATATTTGTAGTATTATAAGTATACTTAGTTTAAGTCATTAAATTATTCAAGTTTCATGTATAGTATTGTTATTTGATAATAATTTTAAAACGTATTTGGATAAAATTCAACATTAGTACTATATACGGTAACTACTGAATTTTTATTAAATTGTATGTTTTTTCACAATTTACTTACCATGGTCAATGCAATTAGTTCAATAAAAAATTTCGTGTATCTATTATATTCTAATAATATAAATAAATAAAAATTATCCACAAAACGTGGTTATTATTTTATCTGATGAATAATATTATTTAAATAAATTTTAATAAAAATAATTTTTATGCACATAAAATTCTTAACCACTTGTTGCGATTTGTGTTTCCGCATCAACAATAAGCTCGATAGAAATATGATGTGCACATTTTATAATATTTAAAGTAGATATTCATTAATAACTTGAAATCCTTGAATCCAGTTTTTAAATGATAAACAACGTGTTTTTTTTGTTTAGAACACAAAATTCTTTTTACGTCATGTGTTTATATTAATTAATTGGATACTATAAGTACTTAAAACCAGATTTTTTTTTATTCTTCAAACACCTAAGACAATGATTAAAAACAGGATTTTTGCAATATCAAAATAAATTAGATTCATAATAATATCATAACTGTAAAGTTTAGATCCATTTAAAATAATTTAATAGTAATCATCTAAGAAATTAATAATTTTTTTTTCTGATTAGTGTGATTTACTACTAGAGTGAATTTGAATGATTAAACCATTTGAAGTGTTTGATTGTGCAAGTGATGTATTGATCGTATTCTATCAAAATTGTCAGTTTACGATTATATAGTAATGCAAAAACCTTATCCATAGCACACTGTCCGTAACATATTCACTAAAACTAAACACAACATACAAATCATACAATATTTATAAATTATATTTCATTTATTTCATTCGTTCAATATTTTATATTTCTTCATAAAAATCTATAAGGAAAAACATTCTATTTCAATAAAAAGCAAAAAAAATAACGAAAAAATGATTTAATAAATTGAAACATTTTAAAATACTATATATTATACTTCAATAATAAATTTATAACATAAAGTGAGAAAAACCTATAGTAATATCTTCATAATAACTAAAAAACTAAAATAAAATTTACTCAAAGCACTTGTGGCTTTGTTTGCTTGTATGTATGTCGAACACTGATTTGTAATAAATTCTCTTGTATGATATTAAGGTATTCAGTATTGTCCACTGTCCAGCAAGCCACCTTCCATTGGTTTTATTTTATTTTTATTGAGTACCACTCCTAAAATAAGAAATTTTTTTAGCCGTCGTTGAATTATGGTATCTACAAGTCACTAGGAATTATTCACAATTGCGATTTGTAAGATATTTATTTAATTAATTATATACATGGTTAATTATTTTGCATTCATTGTATCCTGTGCCATTGTTAAAATGCACTTATGAAATTCAATATTATAAATATTTTTGTAACATAAATGGTACATCTATATTTTATTTTATTTTTATATTAAATTATTAATTGTAAATGAACGTCACAAAAATATTTTATTCCTCTATTTGTACAAATCTAAATCTTAAATTATATAATTATATTATATTTTATTATTATAATTTTAAGTTCACATAAAAATGTTTTTCAAGAGTTGCTATAACTAATGATATTAAGTGTCAAATAAAAATATGAATATTCATAAAAGTTAAATTAAAATGTATTAGAACGATAAAAGGTCCAAGTAAAAATATTCAAGTAAATATTACCAGAGTATATAAATAATAAATTTACCAACAATTTTTGTTTAGTTTTTATCTTAAATAACTTAGCAATTTAAATAAATAACAATCTAATTATTTGATAATAATATTTAAATAAAACAAAAAATTATATTTAATTTCCAAACTTCCGAAAAAAAAAATAAATATTTTCAATTTTGAATGCACTTAAAAATAATAAAATTATGTACCAATGTATAACAATCAGTTGGTACAAAACAATATAATATAAACCAAAGCATTTAATTATTTCCAATAATACATTACTCGTTAGTCCTAACTGATAAATTATAATATTTTAAAAGTAATTAAGAAATAACCTGTTATAAATATTGTATATTAATGCATTAAATATAGATACTTATTTACATTGTTACATATAGTGAATTTTTGTTACAGAACAAATATGAAAATAATAAAATAATAATCATCTATTATTCAACAATAAAATCAATTGTTGACAATAAAGTATTATATAAAAAAAGTTGATTAAATTTTGTTTTTAGTATCAAGGACCAACAAAAAATAAATGTAAATAATAGTATTTTAATTTAATTTATGCTTATTATATATTAATTATATGTACCTACATTCGTTTTATAATGAAGTCCATACGTTATTCTTTTGTATCATTTTTAAAATTATCTAATCATAAATAATATTATGTAGATAAATTGATTATTAAACATAAAATGAAAGCTCTTAGAAACATTCATCGTTTTATATTATAACATACTCGTATGTTTTAACAGTGACGTAGTCAGATTCCTGTATGATGGGGAAGGGTATAAAAAAAACTAAAAATTGTATGTTTATCTGTTAACTTTAATATTTACTTTGTTTCATTCTTAACTTTAAGAATATTATACATATTTATATTTTAATTAAATATAAAAATATGCTCTTATATAAGTATTGATAAAATTATGATGATCAATACGATGATATAAAATATATTAGCATCTTACTCTCCGATTTACGCCTTTCTTAAGCGTGGAATTCGTAAAACTCCTAAAACATTATTCAATACAAAACTCATAAAACCAGTATAATTTTTTTTTTTTTTAAACACACATTTATTTAAACCCGAATAAATTACCCTATTTAATCTAAACCTGATTAATTTTTATTTTACAAATTTCATGTCACGGTAATTTAAAATTAGGTATAAGTACACGTATACTTTGTGGTTAATTTGATTTTGTAGTAACTATTGACAATATTATACCTACAATCAATTGGGATTAATTACTAAATATTTATGGCGATAAACATGCATTAAAATGTATATATTATGCTTTAGTCATCCATAAATTTAATAATATTATCCCTCGGTAATATTTTAAGAAATATCCTATAATCTTCATGGTTTTCAAATTAAGTTTTCCTTAAACTACTTTACGTATACAACCGTATAAATACAATATTTTAACCCGAATAATAACAGTTACCATCACTTAAACGTTTATTTAATTTTAACATACGTAGATATGTATTTGAACTAAAAACAATATAATTTTTATAATTGTAATAGACTTTTTATTATAGCGTAATAATATAAATACATTAAATTTTTTACTACAATTTAAAAAAAAAAACATATCTATAGTTTAATGTTATTCCTTATACAGCCACAAAAATATATATCAAGTATCACATGTTAAATTCTGTTGATTTTTTTTTTATTTAAGTGTTAAGCAAGAATACATAAAGTACCTGCAGAAACCCAAAATTCACAATCATCCGAATCTCGATAACTCAAAAAACTTTATAAACCATAGTTTTTTCTTATTCTAAGAGTTTAAATTACAATAATAATGCAAATAACTTTTCAAAACACTGAGATGATACAAAAAAATACCAACACAGATATTATAATTTATAAACAACCCTATACTTTATAATCACTATACTTAGTTCAGTTAAATAGTAGTTATACAAACAACTAATTATTAAACGGATTTACAAACAAAAATATTTTGTTAAAAAAAAAAAAAAAAAACACTTATTTAAATGGTAGATAATGATATAAAATAGATACATAATTAACTTTTTAATATGAGACTTTTGTGTAGTATAATATAAGTGATAATTGTTTTTAAATTGATTAATTTACTATTAAAATAAATTAAGAAGTAATACATTATCTGTTAAACAAACTTAACTATCAAAATCAAAATAAATATTTATCGACAAAGATAAATAAATATTACATGTAATATAATAAAAATATACCCAATAATAATATTATAATACATACTTTTTACAATTTAAAACGTATATATTAAAAAAAATTAGCCCTTTTTGTCGTATTAATAACTTTACCTATGTACATACTACATAGTACTATACTCGTGTAGGTAAAAAATAGATGTATTATAAAGATTATTCTTTATAAACTAGTGGCGTTATCTGTCCAATAAAATGAGATAAAAATTTTACTGTTTGAACTCTGGTATTATGAAGTATAAAAAATAGTAACCAAAATATAAATGTAACAAAAGAAAATATTAAATTGTTATTGACTATTGTTTGTTATTTAAACGCACATCAAAAGGCGATGTTCTCATATCTGTAGCTATTATGTATTATATTATATTATTATATAAGTACTAAATTTCTGTTTTTCTCATACAAAACATCAAAACATTCTTACGAATACTAGATAGAAGAAGCAACTTCAATACTGAACTATATATATGATAAGAAATGCTATAATTTAAATCGTGTTTATTTTAAATTAAAATGGTTTTTATGGTCAAATTTCGACCAACAGCCAACAGACGATACTAGTTCAAATAATATGCTTATAATAGGTATTATAAATATTAAATATTTCACTATATTTTCAACGTTAATCAATGTATTTTTCAATTCAAGAGTAATTATATAAAAAGCAAATCTACGAAAGGCTTAAAACGTTTTATTTCAACTCGAACTCGCTTTTCAAATTTAATATATTTTTATTTTTGTCAAAACAATTTTAAAATAAACATACTCTTTTAAAATGTATTACTCTTATTATTATTATTATATTACTATTGTATTTTATTATAATATATTTATATTATTTATATATTTTTTGATAATATTGTGCAGCCCATAAATCATAATTTAATTATTGTTATAATTAATCATAAAAAAATATGCAATAATATCCACTAAATATGATATCAACAACAATCACGACACCAATCGGCTATTTAAGCGTAATTTTAATAATCATTTTTGGTATGCTGATATATTAGACTTATAATATAATGGGCTTCGGCCCATTATGAATAAGGTCCCCATTCTACCAATAACATTTGTATTTTATACATGGATAATTGTTTAAAATATAATTAATGAACACATATTAATTTAAATTCAGAATGAATACCTCATTTATTTTATTACAATTTTCAAATCA